TATGCAAATTGTGCTCATGATACCTGTTTAGTCACCTCTGTTCGTGGTCACATAATGAACCATGGGCAGAGGAGCTGGACTAAAGGAGTCTCTCTCTCGAGCCATGTGCTCTGTTCCCTCTGTCTTGTGCAGCTTCTGTTGTAATAATCTAAGAAAAAAAATACTGAAAATAATTCTTTCTGGGCCTATGTTGCAGTAAATAATTTCAGTTTAAGCATGCAAAGGATTGACTCGTGAAATAGGAATGGGTGCACAGCATCGGTGCCTGTGAGAGGCAATGCCCTCCGGGGCTGGCTGCCACCACCTCCCCGCTGCCTGTGCGCTCTGCTCCTAGCCCCTTCCAGCCAGCTTGGCTCGAACTGTTTGAATTTCTGGTCCCAGCTATCCCGGCTGATTTATTTATTTATTTATTGCCTGGAGAGAATTAAAGTGCTCATTTGAACTGCTTTTCCAACAGATCAGTTCAAAACCTCCAGCAAGAGGGTTTTAATGAGCAGCTGGGGGAGCAACTTCTTCCTGGCACAGGCAGCTCCTAGAGAGGATATCTGTGCATATCCTTAAGACATTTTAAGAGAGCGAACAAGTTTATATCTTTAAATCATATTAAAAGTGACTTCAGGTATTGCACTGCTCTAAGTCATTTTGTTCCTTAGGACGGCATGGTGCCCACATCTGCCATTAGCACATCCCTTTAATGATCAAGGCTGGACTGTTCAAACGAGCTTAAGCAAGTTAGCACTCAAATCCCGTGGGTAGCCAGCAGGACAGATTTGAACACATCAGTCCTGCTTCTTAATTAGATCCCAAAATCTCAAAGTAAAAATCAAGTGATGCTTTAAACAATTCTTGTGTAATTGCTGTCTTAGTTATTTTTTCCTAAGGATTTTCAACCTTGTTTCAGAAGATTACATCAGTAGTGCACTTAACATTAAGCATGTAAATAACCCCATTTCTCCACAGCGATAATTTCAGCAGCCGTTAAGTCATATGAACACCTCTGGAAGTTAGGTGAATGCTTAAATGTTTTGCTCAATAGAGGTCTAACATTAAACAGGTATTTATGTGCTTTGCTCCATCAGGGCCTTAAAGATATAATTTAAGTAGATGGGTGTCTTCTCCTAATGACTATAATAAAGGAGCAGTGAGGGAAGGTGGTGGGAAAGTGTCGGATGCAGTGATGCTTCAGGAGAGTGCAGAAATGGATTAGAAAAATTTCCTCCTCTTTTACTTTCCTTTTCTCGAGCACAGGAAGAAGGAATCTCACCCTTTTCTTCAGGTGGGCAAATGAAAGGACTGGTTTCCAGACAGCTTCATGTAAATTTTCATTTTCTTTCTGTACAAGTGGTCACTTGAACAACAACAACAACAAAATCAGTCTGGCAGGCAGATGTGCTCTGAGAGGCTTCTCTGCTTCCTCCAAGGAAAAATGCTTAAAAATACAAATAAACTTGCTAAGGGCTATATGATGCACAAGTGCTTTATTAGCCATTGTTCTATTATATGGCCTATCGTTCTGCTTTAATACATGCACAGCAAAAAGTCCCAATGTTTCAGAAATCACAAACCTGTGCTGTTTGTCTTAGGTTTTCTCCAGTGGACAGCATGCCATTATTGTCACGCTCTCTGGTTATATTTAATGCACGGAGGATGCAAGTCCTTTAAAAAATGTCACTTCAGTGGTACTCTATGCATTTTTATTCCTGAATATTAAGTCCCAATTTTTATAGCCTTAGCTCAATCTGTGGCTTCATAAAACATCATAAATTGGAGCTTAGCTTTACAGGCAAGCAAGATGATTTGATAAGCACGGGATTGTCCCTACTACATCAAATAACGTTTCCTCTCTTAGTATCCAGAAGCCCTGAGTTATGGCACTGGTTCAGTAGCCAACCAAGAATTATAAGAAGCCCTATGCAATTAACTTCTCATATCTTCTCTTTTTTTTTCCCTCCAAAGGAAAAAAAAAATAAATGAGGAAAGTTCTTTTAGCCAGGTATTTTCTTCCAATTTTACCTCATAGCAGAGTCAGCTAAGTGCAACCTCTTGTCAGCACAATCATTATCTATAATTTACATGCAAGAAGCAACAGAAACTTTTAGGATGAAATGAATGTAAAACCCGAAACCTCTGCCTGTTCCATCATCCAGCCTCGCAAGTACAGTAGCTGTGTCAGTGACTGTATTAAGAGCTATTAAAATGGCTTTGATGTATTGCTGGGTTTTGGTATGATTTTCTAGGTTTTATTATTCCTCTGACTATCATTTGCTATTTTTAAATGGAATCTACTATTATGGGATATGAGCAGTCTGTCCTTCAGAGGAGACTCTGCACCAATATCCCTTCTGCTCATCTTCAGTGGCTTGTACAGGGGTATGCTAACGATCCCATGGTAGTTCAGTGTCCTAGCCACCATTTATACTATTTATCATCAAAGAAGATTCTGATATTCAAGGTTGTGTGCAGGCACAGGAGCTGCATACCTAATGCCTCTGCCGTTTGCTGCTGCAGCCGTGCGCAGCGCGTGTTTAATTTGGTGGATATCCCCACCGGAGCTCCTGAGCCACAGCTCCCCTGTGCTCTGCCCGAGTTAGCAAGTGGTCCAGCCAAGTGCTGATCCCTCCAAATCCTTTTAGGATAAACCAGAGCTGGCTGCCACAGGGGGCTGCTGGGGGCTGCCCCAGGAGGGGTGAGACATCCCCGCAGTATAGCTGTGTGCGAGGCTTTTCCACAAAGACCTGTTTTAAGGCTAATCCAATAGCTGCGTGAGATGTGGGGGTAAGAAAAACAATGAGATTATTGAGAAGAGAATAGCGTTTAATGAACACTAAAACATGTTATTCCCTTCTTAACAGAGCTGCCTAAAACTATTGATTTCCCTACCCACAGATTTCTAATAATAAAAAATTTAAAGTCTTGCTATCATTCCCCAAATCTGGTTTATTTCCAGCTTGAATGAACTCATAAAATCATGAGTTAGAACTATGGGACTCAGATCCTCCAAATTAACAAATTCCTCTTCAAATCTAACAAAATGAGCTGCTCAGCTGCACCCGCACCTTGGGAGCTGGTGTTGCTTGGTAAGAAAAGCTGATCTCCCTGCTTTGGTGTTTGGGCTCTCTTCTTTCTGGCTCAAACAGCTTAACGAACCCCTCCTCTCTCCATGCATATTTATTTTCATCACTCCATTCACAAATAATCTTGGGTTGCATCTCTTTTACCAAAGCTAACAGCGATGGTTTGTTTTATCCTTGCCTGTAATCTTGATAGCCCTCCATTAGAACTTCTTAGGTCAAATCTGGAAGGATGGGGCTCTACTGGCAATGTAGAGGTATCTTACCTGCTGCTTACCTACAGCTGTATTTGGTTTTACTATTCATTTGGCTTTTTTTTTCTTTTTCTTTTTTTTTTCCACCACTGATAACATGCCAGAAAAAGGCTTTTGGCCAAGCTGCTGGTTTTCCTTTCAGAGGGGTTATCCAGCATACTGCTGGCAGTGCCTTTAGGGGGAAATGCATAAGTTGGAAATCAAGCTTCCAAAAAAACAAACAGCACTTCTGATTAGTATCTCATATTGTTATCCTTCCTGCTTCATTTGTTTTCCAGATGGGCGAAATAAAGGTCAACAACCCTAGGGCAATGATCTGATTTGAAAGAAATGTGATTTCTGAAAGGGAAATTTGCAAAAATAGCCATAACCAAGAAATGAGAAACATTTTAAGAAATTGGCAGTTCAGACTAATCTTCCATGTAGTTTATCTTCATGAATTGGTGCTATTTTATTGTCCATGCAAATGTGCTGATAACCAGTCCCGATCTCTCTCCACCGTTTTTAAAATCGTTTTTCTTCTAATTAAGATACCATTGCCATCGTGAGATAAAGGGGACAACCATGCACCTAGCTAAAAAGAGCCAAGTTTTAGACTATGTGGCCATAGTGGGTGACTCTCCCTGTGGCTGGTCTGCTCAGCCACGCCAACTCCAACCCTATCTCCAGAGCAGGTTGCTGCTGCCTCCTCCTAAAATATGGGTCATGTCTCCCTCTAGGGGCTCCTAAAGAGGATAAACCCCACCTTCCACTAACATCGGAGGCTTTAAAAAGCATTGCGTGTCGAATTTTGGCAGCGATCCGATGTCAGAGAAAAAAAAGGTGTTTAAGCTTGTAGAAACTGTAATGTAATACGAAGAGTGTGCCCATGGAAAAAGCGGTTTAGAAGTTTTATGTTAATCGAGTTTTCTGGCAGAAATGAAATTCCTGCCTCGTATCTGGGCTACGCAGAGGCTGAGCTGTGGGTGGATGGTTTTGCTGGTGGGTTAAGGTCCAAGTGGTCTCCTCTTTGCTCCTTGTGGTGTCCCCAGCCTGAGAGGAGGTGATGCTGCTCCTGCACCGCAGGCCTCTGAAGCATCTTTGGGTATGTTGGAGGTGGTCTGCTGGAGAGAGGAGCTCTTCTGGAGGGTGCTGCTGGGGGCTCTGCTGCTCACTGCTGCCCTCCGAGCACCGGGACAGGGGAGAGGATGTGGTCAAAGCAGAGAGAAAGAAGAAAACAGGGCAGAACCTCAGGGATTTATTTTGATATATTATTGAAACGGAAAACCAGAAGCATCTAATTGATACGATACAGTACTTAAATAGAATTCATCAGAATGATTTTTGGATTTGCAGTTTAATTTGACACTTGTGGACTTTCTGGGTAGTTTGTATTTTCTAGGTACTGGGGATTTTCCTCCATCAAGTGGCCAAGCAGCAGTGGAGATTGTTCAGTGTCACCACTGACCCAGTATTGATATGAAACTGCAAAGAGGAGAGGCCAAATATTTACATATCAGTAAATTTAATCAAAATAGAAGGGGCAGCTTTCCTAGAGATGCAACTGGGAATTGCAGAAATGGAAAGCCACCCCATGAAATTTGAATTACTTGAAGAAACCAAGTATAGTCCTCAAAGACCTTGCTTTTGATTAGGACACAGATTCCTTTCACCTGCTTTAATCACTTAGAAGTTGTGAGGCTTCCTGAGCAGCCAGCTGAGCAATGGGGTGAGTCATCTCCTGGAGGAACACGTTCGCTAGCTGGGTACAAGCTCATCTCCATAGGTGCCTCGTTCTGAAGTGAGGTGCAGCTCGTCTCATTCCTCTTGAGGATTGCTTTGTGGGCCTCTGCAGCTGCTCCTTGACAAGTAAGAGTACTGTTTGCCCCTACAGTTATTTACATTGAGATGATTTCCCATTGCCTGAAAGTAATTCATCTTTTTTTTAAATCGTGGTTGTTCAGTCAGCAAAACTAAGGATCTCTGTAAAGATGTAGTGGCGGTGTTGCTGATAAATAATCTAACTAATTTTTGAAAAAAACAAAACCAATTTGGGTACAATTATTTTTTCATCATCTGCAATGTAAATCAAGAACAGCTCCTGGACACCCAACTTGCATAGCAAAGACCTTTGCATGCAGCTCAGGTAATGTTTGTGAACCTCTGGGTCCTGCAGGATAATTTCACTGATGCTATGAAGCCAGGATACACCAGGTAGATGTATCCCTACCTAATAATTAGGAAACACTCCCATGGGAGCAGAGACCTGGGGACAGCTGGGCAGCTTGGGGTGCTGCAGGTGCCTAGGGCAATCCCACCAGGGCCCACCCAGCTGCTGCCCCAGCAGACCCACGCCAGGAAGCAGAGCGTAGATGCGGTCAAAATGAGAGAAAATTCAGGGATGTGTAAATAAGAGGTGATAAATATAAGGCAGAGAGAATGATGCTGGCATTGCATGAGGGAGGTGGGTGGTGGATCCCCAACCAGACAATTGCGGGGGGTTTGGGGCCTCTCCAGGCGCAGAGGAGGGCCACAGTGAGCCACTAACATCTCTGGATCAAAGCTCCTGAGGCTTCAAGAAGGTGGCCTGAGCCCAACTGTCTCTGGCGGTGATTTCTCAGATTTTCTGCTGATTATGCTACTGCAATCTTGCAAGGAATTTATGCATAATGGACATAAATCTCACTATACGAGCCACCTGAGAGGCAAGAAAAATGGTTTCTGTCCAGGATCTACATACAGAAATACATTAAACAACAGCTCTCTGTAGATCAGAAGCCTCAGTTTCAAATGCAGGTTTGGGGGAATAATGAAGAATAAAATTAGTGCTTTGGCAATACGTTAAGCCTTTTGGGGGGGAGTTCACTGGCATATTTTTATAGCCTTAAAGGATAAATGGTGATGTTAATAAATTTTTCTAACTTTTAAACTGATCTTTCGAAGGAGAACGCAGAAAGGTTTTTCTGTGCGCTGCTGAAGGGCTGGCAGAGCTGTTTGGCCAGGATGCCAGGCCAGCGCTGTGCCTTCCAATTAGCACAACACACACAAAGTGGCTGCACACAGCTGTGGGAGGCCACCAATGGCCGAGATTGATGGCCGTGCAGCCACACTATCGCTCACCTTTCTGCACGCAGGTGGGGACAGAGCTGTCTGTGGATTGCCAGCACCAACTTCGGCAGCCCCCGGGTTCAGTCAGGGGGGAGATGCCCATTAGCACGGGATTACATCTGTTAATTATGCTGCACCTTCCCTACCAGGGTGTGCAATGTCCCTCAGTGACTGGGGACTGCCAAGTGGTGTTGATAAAACCAATCTAAAAACAAAATCCTAAAACAAGAGTGTGCTCCTTCCTTTCTGTGTGTTAGTTACTGCAAAGGGAAGCGTGATGTTATTAAAGTGGGTACAAGCCTCTTCCCGTCGTGTTTCTGTGGCTCTGGCTTTGTTATACACACACTCATAAATTATTTTGTTGCTATAGCAATAGTTTTCTCTGGGCCTAATTCTTTCTCATTTACTCTGCACTCTCAGTTCAATGGGGCCTTACTTTGGCAAATGACCTTTCAAATCGTGTCATTAAGTTACATTTGCTTCTGCTTTTTGGTGCTGATCTGGCTAGGGAATTCTTAATTTGGGTTAAAATGGACTTGAATATTCTTAGTAAAATAGGTACCAAGAGACTGCATCTGTAAAACTATAATATGTACTGTGTGTGTGTGTGTGTCTGCATCTTTACAGGCAGCATGGATCTTCTCATCCTATAACATTCCCTGTATAGGGAGGGTGGCGGTGGGGAAAGCCAAAATGTATGACAAGAAACTCTCCATGTTCCCCATTTACACAACTCTGAGCTTCATTCTCACTTTAGCTTTTCTCAGCATCTAAGAAGTATCTTTCCATCAACAACTTGCAATTGCCAAATGATATGCCTCTTATCCCCGTATATCATTCAATGAAGCTAGATCTTACAAGATATCTCCTGAAGCCTTCTTCATAGGTCTTTGTCTCCTCTGTATGCTTGCTAATTGATACGCTGCTGTGTGATGTGGTAGCGTACCATGGAGGAACCTGGGGAAGCCAACTGACTGCCTTGTTCTGGGCCCTGATGGCCACAAGGGGACAATCACCCTGGTGTGCTGAGGAGATGGGGACCAGGAGGCAATTCTTCCTCGTCAGCTAGCCTGGTGGCATGGCATAATTACACTGGTTTCATATACAAATATGGGTTTTACTCCATTAAATACTCAGTAAATAATGTTTTCCTATATTAATTTTAAAATGGATATATTTAGAAATAAGACCAGGCTCTGGGTGATCTTTCTTAAACACCCTAAAAGAGTAATTATAACACCAGATATGTTGCCACAAGCATGCAGAAGTTTTAATTGTGGAAGGTTAATAAATAAAACTCATGTTGTTGAGCAGCTGAAAGTTCCTATTGAAGGGCAACAATGGGCTGTATTTTGGTACTATTATTTGAAATAAAAGCATTTGTGGCAAGAATTGTCTTACAGAAAGCCAGTGAATGAGGTTTGAGTAAGGATCAAATGAATAGAGCTGGTTAGTACTTGTTGAAATAGGGGGGGGAAATGTCTTTTCCCTCTGCAGAAATGATGCTTTGAGAGGGTGAGATTTCCTCTGTGGTGCAGGGTGAGGTTGAAGAAGTTTGGAAACTGGACCTCTTTCATGGGCCACTGCTGGACCCCAGGAGAAGCCTAGAAACTCTTCACAGCCTGCAGGGTGCTGAAGACATGTGTGAACCTATCTCAAGTAGTCAAAGTAATGTTCCTTTGTTGAAGGACTCAGCCAGTTTCGATGATGTGCAGCAGCAGCAGGATGCTCTCAGAGCACAGAGGGGTCATTGCTATCCACTGTGTGTGCAACTGAACAAAAAATTGCTTTAAAATACAGCACAAAACTCATTGCAAAGGTCTGAAATTGAGCCAGAGGGTCTCGTGTTAGTGGCAAGGGGTTAGGCTTGTGCAGACTGGCATGCATTTGAATTCTGGCCGATTTATTCATGGTTGCTCCTATAGGCAAATCTATTCAGATGCATCAACTCTTACAACTATTCCCACTTGGGTCAAGGCTTCCAGCTTTTCCACGCTTCCTAGCTGTCAGAGGCAGGTGCCTTAGCTTCTGCTGTTTTAACTGTTTTAACATCCCCAAGTTCTTTTTCCTTTATGCACACAGTGAAATTAAGCTCTGATGTCTGCTCGTTTGAATGCTCCTGGTAACACTGAGAGGGGATGGAGAGAGGTGGGTGCAGCGTGGAAAAGTGAGAGCCATAGGCACAAAGAAGGCTACGGAGTTGCTCAGTTTAACAAAGTGGAAATAGAGATGAGGTCCATGAGTTAGAGGCTTTTTCCTCTGAAATCTGTTGTTTCTAGCTTCCTCTGGCTTTAATGAAGAACACCAGCATTTACAGATTGGGAAGGAGACTCCCATAGTGGCTGCTGAAACTGTACCAGTCAGTCCCAGGGAAGAGTCAGCTCTCAGAGGTGTAGCACAGCTAGTGTCTTTTCTGTCTTTAAATGTTGTTATTAGTGTACCTGAACATTTCAGATATATCTTATTTATTTATTATTTATTTAATTTTAATTTTTAGTGGGATCTAGCTTTTTTTTTTTTTTTTTCCTTTTCAAGAGACTCAGCTGGGATTATCGCATCATTATTTTCTGTGTCTTTGGTTTTGTTCACACTCCATAATGAGTAATCCTAGATTATAATATCTACTTGATGCTAATATACAGCAGTCCATCATTTTTCACTGGGATGACTTTCAGTAAATAGTTTCTCTGTTCCTCTCGTAGCAGAGAGCTCTGCTTTTATAAATCTGAACTACTCCTTACCACGTGGTAGTCCCACGTGTGGTGTCTGTGTCTTTCTGTAAGGCATGAATTCCTCTGGAACCACCATGGCTTTCTCTGGAGATCTTGTATCTCTTTGGCTTCAAAACTCTGTTTGTTATTTTAGTTCATAGAATGTTCCTACTATGTGTACAGAACAGTTTTAATGTGCTCTCTTAATAGGAGGGAGCTATCATTGATATCTAGGGTGATAATTTCCCATAAGGGCTGCATGACTAATGTAGACTTTGACCAAACTCTGGATTTTTTTCTCTTCTTCCTACCCCCAAATGATGTCTGCTTTTGGTTCTTTGCCTGTGTTCTATAAGGATATTTTTATTGTCTACATTTGAGGCACTGAACAAAATATCAATCTTTGAGGAGGCTTTTCTCATGAGAAATCATTTCTCTTCTAGTTAAAGATATCCCTAAAATGTGGATATTTTATATAAAATTTAAGTAATGTTTTAGTTTTAAATGAATGAAATAGGTATATTAAGCAGGTATATTAACATTTATTTTATTGGCATTCATTTCTCTCACTTTATCATAACGTCTGGATGTTTTTTTTATATATTGAGTGAGGGAGCTGTGGAGACCAAATTCCTCCTGAGGGTTGGAGAACAGAAGGGAGGAAAAGGAATCCATGTCATATGTTCATCTGGAATTCCACATGTGAAATATCATCATGATCCAAAGCCCATTTTGTATTAGGTGCTAAGAGTTTTAGCAAAAAAGAAAAGCAGTGAATTCATGCCTGGAGTCCTTTTGTAAATTTTTCACTTGGTGTTTGCTCAGGCTCCCGTGATACCTGACCTCATATCCATCTCCATCATGTACCTTAATAATATTTTAGCAAACTCAGTGCTGTGAATTGTCTTTCTAGAATAAGATTTGCAAATGTACATTTTTGGTAGATGTTTTACCAGCCTTTTTTCATACTGAGCGTTACTTGCATTGAATACTAATTTGGGGTGACCAATTAATTTTTATCATGGCCATATAACCAAACTAGGATAATCATCGCTTTTTGTTGTATATTTCCCTAAGCAACAAAACAGTTTTACATTTTGAGCAGGAGCAAAACTACCTGAGGTTAGGAGAAATATAGACAACTACCTATTTTAGTTAAGCCACCAAAATACAGACATCTCACAGCTTTTTTAATTGTGGATTCTTAAAGTCTGATATCTAGGATTTAGCACCATTAATTCTGTAACAGAATTTATCACTGAAATAATTAATTTTCTTCAGAATGCAAGTATATTGTTCAGGGTAAATAATGATCAACCTGTGCCGTTGTTGACAGAGTAGCCCTAAGTTGGGCACTGGGACTTATTGCTTTGCAGACTCATTCGATGGAGGTGTTCACGTCCCAGCAGCAGTCCCTGCTGCCACCCTACACAGCTCAGGCTGCTCCAGCTGCAGGGAATCTCACACTGCACTGGAGGCCACGACATTTTCTGAAAACCAGGTGAACACCACCCAACATAGGTGAAACCATCACAGAACGGCATGCTTTGATCTGCTCTTCTGTTACCTCCAACAAACACACACGTATGTTACATTATTTACTCTGTAGTAGGAAATAGAGGCCAGCCTTGGAATGCAGGTCAGCTTCCTCCTCCACCAGCCAAAGCATGCCATGGGCTGAGCCCACCAACATTTTGTGGTTGAAGTAGGCTTCACCATCACTGGCAAGCCGAGCTCACTGACATACATGTACTGTGCTTTTCTCTGCGACTTCAGCAAAAAGCCTTCTCTGCTTTTCATTTGTTCTCTTTGCTCCGAAGTTTCAGGCTTTCTCCAGGTGCCCTTTTGCTCTCTGCTGACTGTGAAATCAATGCACTTTTTTTGCAGGGCAGGGAGTGTGTCCCAGGCATGATGCATGTTCCACAGTCAGTCCCGGTCATGTGCTACATCTGCTCCCTGAAGTCATCTACAACAACATGCTCTCCAACGCTAACAGCTTTCAGGTGGCACAGCAATATGTTCTGCACATGGTCTGAATCGGGGCTTTTCACACAGCCATCACATTTGCTTAGGGAGAAAGTTCCTTTCCAGAGCAGAAACACAACATCATCCCTTCCAGTTCCATCTGGTAAGAATAAACTCTGCAGCGGAGTAAATCTGTTGTCCCTCCATGTCCAAGCAGAAGTTCCCACCTTATTGCACCTGAAAACATGTCTCCTGTAATGGCCATCAAATAGATTTCAAACACGTGCAGATGAGCCAGTAAGCGGTGTTTTGATTCCATGGTAACTTGAGCAAAGAGTAAAGGAATTGGACAAAGAGGGAAGATGATCTTGCTAGCAATGGAAAGGAGGGAAAATATATCCCGTAAAGCAGATGGAGAGAGATTATAAAAATACTAGGCTTGGATCTGCATGCACAGCTTTCCAGCCTTGTGGCTCAGTAGGTAGAAGGAAAAATTCATCTCTTCCTGTAAATATTTTTACTCCTCAAATAAAATTATTTCTCGGTATTATCACATTAAAAGCAACTGCATCACGCTCCTATCCCCAAATGCTTAGCATTGCAGTCCCCAAATTAATGTGACAGTATCCTGAACATTTTTTAGCTTAGACCCTTCTAAATAAAGCACAGGCATTCCTCCCAAGAAAGTTTATTTTTTGCTTTGCAAGTTGTCTTACCGTTCTTCATCCTAGGTGGTATTCTTGGCTGGAATTTCAAAGCAATGTCAAAATTAAATTGTATTTATGTTTGGTAGTCCCAGTGTTCAGTCGGCAGGAGTCCAGCCATGGTGCTGAGTCCCCTGGCGTGCGTGCTGCTGGTGGCACCGGAGAGGAGCCCGTCCAGCAGGCTGGGTCCCACAGGCCATCCCTCCACGAGTACCTGCAAAATGCCAAGGAGAAAGGCATCCCCTCCTTCCCTGTGCCATGCAGGCAGAGTGGGATGCAGAGAGGCATGCGAGGCACCGCTGCACCACTGAAACCAGACAGCACTACTACTAGAAATGAAAAATGCTTGCCAGTCAGAGCTAGAGAAGGAATTAAAGAATGCACATTTATTAATCCCACTTGTTCAAACCAAACTAGAGCTCAGATAACACCTCTTTTCCCATGAGCTAAGATTTTTACATGTTAAAGCTCCTCTTTTGGAAGTGTCTGAAATATTTTTCTATTTCTTAGTTGCTCATGCTGAGCTATTGATTTTTATTTTTTTCTTGGCTCTAATCAGACATTACTGCTTTCTCTTAATTTAGTTTTATAGCTGTTTAATGAATGTTGTTCATGAATGAAGGAAAAAATCCAGAGGATTTAGGGAGCTAGAAACCTCTCTGGAATCTGATTCGTGGTGTATTTCAGGTAGGAGGGCGCACTGCTGCTTGTTCTCATCCTTGCTAAGCCTATGCAGCACCACAGACGAGATCATTTAGTCAGTTAAAAATCGTTCTGAAGCAAAATAACTTCCAGATGTTTCTCTAATTTTGTGGGACATGGAACTGCGAACAGCCATTAAACTTTATCCCTTTTTCTTCTTGACTTTTCAGAGAGAAACAGATAAAAGAATATGAAAAAAAAATCATTCTGCTGCTGCTGAGTGATGCTCATGGAAGAGAAAACTCTGGACTAAATATGTTTATTGTGGGTATTACCAAAGACAAGAGGAGATCACACATCGGAGGTTTCAATTGCTGAGGATGATACATTTGTTTAATAGTTATGCTTTCCCTATACCTGGCTCTGATACAGACTGAGACAGAGATCATGAGGCATGTTTTCAGAAAGACATTTTGTGTTTTTAAAATTAAATTTTACTTGCCAAAGAACAAGCTCCTGAGTAGCAGTTCTTTCTAGTGCTCCGTATCTACAGCAAGGCTCAAATATATTTTCTCCTAAAAAGCAGTTTTCAGGACTATGAATTAAATCCTCCATAAAATTTTGATAAAGATCTCGAAGCTTCAACTTCAGAAAGCATGTACTTATTAAAACTCCTCTTACTAGATGTTTAATATAATATTGACATCTAGTAATTAATTTATCCATGATAGCATTCAATTCTTTTCTGCCTATTAATGCTGCAGTGTTCATTTTTGCATGTCATAGAAATAAACAGAGAAGATACCAATAGATTTTTTTCTATTACTTTTTATGTGGTTTTCACAGTTTCTTTCCCATCCGTTTAATACTAAATGTTGTATCAAGCTGTGGAAATTCACTGGTTGCCACAGTGAACACCCGGCGAGAGTCCTTATGAGGGTGCAGCATCAGAGGTGGCTTCGGAGGTTTGGTCCTCTCATCTCACGCAATCCTTTCACTTGCCAACCCAGTAGTTTGGGACAGGGTGTGAGGGCTGGTGTGTGACTCAGAAACCTCCCTCAGAAACCTCAGCTTGACTGACTTGCTGTTGTCACTGCTTAGGTTCTTCACGTGATTGTTGAATGGAAAACCAAGTGGATTTTTAACATCTCTCATTTGTATTTAGCAATTAAGAACCAATAAGATATGTTCATGCGGTTGCGATACTGTTTGGAAAAGACCCAATGCAGGCCTTTTTCTATATTTTCCCTGTAAGTGGTGTCATTTTACATTAATGTAGGCTCTGTTTTTGTTGAAGCAGCTCCTGTGTTTTTTGTTGGTTCTTTGGATTAGACTGGCTGCTATGAATTTGACAACAGTTATCAAATCTCCCCTGCAGCGGACTGACTGTCAAGGATATGATGGTCAAATGTTTCACATATTGCAATCAAACCATTTGTGTTTGGTTTGAAGAATTCCAAAAGAAAGCTGTCAGCTAAGAAATGAAGTCGAAGTAGCCTGAAGCTTTTGGAGCATGTTGATCCAATTATGATGATCCACTCATATCCTTCAGCTTTTTTCAAAATCAATTTTCATTTTAGCTCAGGGGACAGGGTGGTTTTTTCTTTTTTTTTTTTTTTTTTTTTTTTTTTTTTCTTTTTGGTAATGCAGAGAAACATCTGTAAGGGTATTTCAATGTGTTGTTTCAGGAAATTTCTTTTTTGTGCAAGAGAGCATTGAACTCTACATGTATTTTGCAAGTGTCTTTTGTCTCCAGCACACACACACACTTACATGTTATCTGCCTGCTCAGACGTGTGTCTGTATATACATGCAAGCAATGTCCACTAATCTGAGTGTGGACTTTAAAGTTATTTACATGTGTTCAATCCAGTTGATTGAACACGAGGGGGAGAAAAACTACAGGAAAACCCCAAAGGGGTGTTAAATGGCCAGCACGCAAGGATGTAGAGAAACCTAAACCGTAGGTGTTGTGGACCAGATGTTCAGCTGGCGTTTAACAGCAAAGCTGTTTGTCACCGGCAGGGCTGTATCCTGCAGAGACACTGCTGCGTGTGACATACTGACATAACAAACCAGTGGTCAGCTATCTCCTTGCTCTCCTTTGGCTTACAGATAACATTTGAAAGTGCCTGATATTTATTATTCTGCTGCCAGGGAGTTGTTGATGTCTCTGTGCCCAGCGCAGACTGAGCCTGATGCCACAGTGTGCGAACAACGTGATTGAGTAGCAAAGCCATGTTCACCCACCTGGGATCAAGCCATGGGTTTGCAGCTTTTATGAGTTTGGACAACAGATTTGATCCAAGGTGATTGCATCGTTCTCATCCTAGATAGTGCACTGTTGTCATGTTGTTTCTGCACTAGATACATAGCAAGTATTCAGTAAATTTAATTAGATGAGATATTCCAAGCCTTTGGACATGGTAATAGGAGCTAGGAATTTGGATTCAGAAGTGTTTCCACACTCTGGATGCTGTCACTGGGAGGAGAAACCCTCCTGTGCCCAACAGAGACACACAAAATCTCCCATGGAAGGGAGGGGAGCGAGAAACAAAGCTGGAGCTCTGGCCCTGTGGTTATTTGTCCCATTAGGTCCAGCTCTGTTGATGGTGTCCTACCACTGTTGTGTAACCATCGTCACCCACAACCTGGGTCTCTTGGTCAGGAGCTCTATACTTTCTTCAAACTGGCAATTATTTTGCAAACAGTCTACACACCCAGCAAGCCGTGAGTCCTGTGACCTTTCAGAGATCCATAAATGCTGCTCAGAAACCACCTGTATAAAATCTCAATCATTTAACCCAACAGTAAAAAATATATAAGTTCCCAAAATCTCCAGGAAGTGAAATTTGACCTTTTCTCTACGATTCATCTTCAAGCTTCATTTAATGGTAATTCTGCTGTGAGAATAGAGTGCTAGGAGATGAGGAGGGGGAGCCTGTCTATAATAGCAGGAAATATTTCCAAGTTCATGACTTGCTGAAGACCACAGAGAACTCTTCAGTACTGCTTGGTTTATTACGGATTTTAAAGGAGATGTTTATAAAGAAGTTAATTTTCTTGATTTTATCACAACATACCTACAGCTGAACTGTGCATATAACCTCCTTTTCAGGAGTATATTTGGTTAAATCAAGGTATCAATGTCAATTGGATTGCTTATAATTTCTGTGGTATGGAATAAGGCAAGGCATAGCTGATGGTACTTAAATACCTTTGCACCTTGCAACACTGAGTTTTAAGAGTGATTTTGACAAATGTTGGCTTTCAGCAGAAACCAGATTTATTTTTATTTGGATCTGAAGTCCTGGCATTTCTCAAGGAAATGAAGAGCTTATTTGATAAACCCCCCAAACCCAGGAGCAGATTACAAACTCTGACTTTAATGGAATGAAGCTGATTTGCACTGGTTGAAGCTCTCACCCCTTTCTATCATACCTCATACACAAATTTGCAGTAAAACAGCACCAAATTCCCTAGGATTTTTACAATGATCTGCATCAGCCCCGTAAAGGCGGTTATCTGGAAAGGAACAGACTGAGATACCAAATACCTTGCCAAGTATTTTTATTAACTGATGATGGGGAGCTTTATTAAGATCAGAGATCACCTTTCAAACCTTTTGGCCTAAATGCACTTTATCTTATATTTAGAATATGTCCAAGAAACTTTGAAGTTAGAAAATGAAGCCGTTTATGGAGTCCTCTTGCCATACAGTAGAGCTGCTGTTCAAAAGCACTATTCAAAAAAAAACATGTAAAATTTCACATGACAGTAAATATTTATTGTTCATCAAATTAAGGAAGTATCAGAGATAGGCTAGGCATCCAGCTGGCAGGTTTTCAACAAAACGTTAAATCTTGTGCACCCATTTCCAAGCTGTGCAGTTAGCAAGTGTCAGTAGCTGTTGAAGGCAGGGCTTCCAGCAAAGGCCAGGGATAAGGGCAAGTTTCTCCAAGATAAACATGACGGGCCATATTCTGCGCTCAGACAGATTTATCCTCTTTTTCTCCCTCTTTCTCCCTCCAAACCAAAGGATTGATTTCATTATGCGTATTTGTCTCTGGTCAAAGCAGAATATTTGCTTCATTCTCCGGCTCTTGAAACATTCATTCTAAAATCTTTCCCTAATCTAGGTAAATTTTCAAAATCTTTTATTTTTACTGTGGATAAGGAGTGGAAGTCAGCATTTCTTGCTCCTCGAGGAGATGCTGTACCTTTGTGTTTGCAGCCGTGATGACAGCACTGCACAGATGTTTCAGACAACCATGGACCTGCATAAACACAGAAAAAGCCTGTCCAATCTCTCTGGATACTGAATTGTACAAGGAGTAGAGCATGCAAAATTAATACAGCTCATGATATTGAAATAAGGAAAATGCCAATCAAAATCTCTAACTGCTGATATGAGGTATCCCAGGAAGGCAGGATTTCAAGTAAAACCTATGTCAGCAGCTGACTCCCTTGCAAAATTGTGTAGTTAGTTATTTTTTAATTTGTGTGGATGCTCTGGGTATGGCCTGGGACAGCCCACTGTATGAAAGCAGACTTTAATATGAGATGAAATACAGGGTTGCAATTAGAGCACTACAAGGAAACACAGTGGAAAATATTAATTGACTGCACATCATAAATCTGGCCTGTGCCAAATTTCTCTGTAGGCACTCCAAGAAAGGAAAACTCTACAGAAGGATTTAAAGAATAATCCAGTAGCTTTTCCCATGCGTGCATGCAGTTTGGATGAATGCGTGAAATTGCTTTTTTGAAAATTTACCAGCTGGAGCTGGGCAGTATGGGATGGTCGGAGGCAACTGTCGGCCTCCCAGCGCTGGGCTGGGAGAGGTGGGAGAGTTCCTCATCAGCCTGCTCTGGCTGGCCCTGCCATCAGCCTGGGTGACTTCTGGATGTCCTTGTGGGTCCCATGAAGACAGGCTGCTGATGGTTTGTTGTATAGAGGAGCAGAGAAGGCCACATGTTAGCAGTGTCCCCCCACATAAAAATAAAATAAATTAATAGTAATAATAATTTTTAAAAAATCTGGGACTTAAACAGAGCCTGGAGGCTTATACATAAGAAAATTTGCAAGTGAATATGAAGTCAGTATTATGTAAATATAAGCTAAGGTACCAAGAGGCAGATAGTGGGGTGGTGTTTTCTGCAGTGGTTAGGTACTCATGCATCTGATCAGGCTGGGGAAGAAAGATGGATAGTTCTGTTTAAATCATATTGAACTGGGATAGGAAAATAGGCAGAAGGAAGGCGTGAGGTTTGGGCAAACCTGCCCTCAGCCACGCCACGTGAAGCTCAACCTCAGGGCAAGCACTTTCACTGCACAGAGTACCTGGAGGAATGCTCTGAGGCTCTCGCAATGTTGCTGCCCTTTAAAATGGAGGAGGAAGATCTCCGGTACTGCCTGTACCCTTGACCCTTTGTGCTTTCTGCTTTGAGCGTAAACCACTTATCGAATTCACGCATAAATATTGTAAAACTTCTAGAGTTGTTTTTAGCTGCTTAAATTTCAAACATGAGTAAATGGAATTATTTTATTTTATTTTATTTTTTACTGTGAGCTGCTGCTGCTCAGGGGCAAATACATAAAGATGATGCATTTCAAAATTGAAGCTTTTGACTCAAAGTTTAGCAGAGTCATTAGTCATGTCATACATGCCAAGTCTGGTGGAATTTGGCATAGCTGTTTAAATTTTAACAAGGGCTAAATTAAATGAACCTTTACCTAAGATATACTGCTGAGGACAGAATGCCTACGGTTATGATCCAGATGCTAATTTATCAAGAACTCTTGAGTTCTCAGCTTCATATTA